GTGAGGGCAGAGACTTTGGTTCATTCCGTTATTCACAGCGGAGAACCTGGCACATGGTAGGTATTTCATAAATATTAGTTGGAAAGTACGGTTTACTGAATTTAATGACGGACCAGTTATCATTGTAGGCAAGCCCGGGGAATGACCTAGGGATTTCCACTTGGGGGGATGCTAATCGCCAAGGCGAATATAGGAAAGTCAGGAGTGGGACAGGGAAGACTAAATGGATTTGGCACGTGTCCAGTTTGAGTGTTTTTCCGGGTGGCTTGGAGAAGGCAGTCTTTCTCTGGCAAAACTTTTCTGACCGCCTCCCCACTGCAGCCCAGATTAGGGGCTGCCCACAGTCCCCTGGACAGACGCCGCCATCATCCGTCTCGCCGGCATGCTCTTGAGAGCCTTCTGTTCCCTGGACTGCGAAACTCCATGGATCTGGAACAGTGCTGCCCGTCTCCTCTCTGGCTCCCAGGGCCCCCGGGAGTGTGTATGCAGTCAGGGCTCAATAAATGCCAGTAGAAGGAAAGAGGGAAGGAGGAAAATGTGGCCACTCAGGAGGGAGGCTGAGCTGAGAGCAGATCTGGGAATGGAAATGCAAATGGAGGTCCAGGTTGGAACCTTGGAGCCCTGGAGACAGGTGGAGCAAGGACTGCTCCAGCACCCTCGGGAGGCCAGGCACACGGCTAAGTGCTCAATTCACAGGACTGCATCTCACCCTCGCCGCAACACTAAGGAGCCACTCTTGTTCCTACTCTGTTCATCAGAGAACTGAGGCCCAGAGAGGTGACACGATTCGCCCAAGGTCACACAGCAAGTGAGCAGCGAAGTCGGGATTTGACCCAGGGCTGGCAGCCCCAAGCCGGCACTCTTCCCACCGCACTCCCTGCCTCTCCTCCCCGCTCCACCTCCTCACCCCTTCCCTCCCCTCCCGCGACTGCCCCGCCCCAGCCCTCCTCTCCCCTCCCCTCCCTCCTCTCGGCGGCGGCTGCGGAGCCACGTGGTGGGGCCGGGAAGCTGCGGCGGCCGAGCGCCCGGGCGGCTGCCCCAGCTGGGCAGTGCTGCTGTGCGCCGCGCCGCGCTCGGTGCCTGCGCTCCCGCCCGCGCTCCCCGCCAGCCGCCCCGGGGCAGGAGGCGCGCCTGACGGCCGGCCCGCCAGACAAAGGAGGCGCGGCGCGGCGAGCCAGCGCGGCGGACGGACCATGGACTCGGAGCGCGGGCGGCCGGCCCCAGCCCTGGGGACCCGACGCTCCCGGGCCCGGCCCTAGGCGCCCGGCCCCGCCGCCCGGGACGCCCAGCGGGGAGGACGCGGAGCCCGCGCGGCGCGGAGGAGGCGGCGGCCGCGGAGCCAGGGGTCGCCGCGGCGGGCGGCCCCTGCGGCCCCCGGAGCCATGGGCAAGTGCAGCGGGCGCTGCACGCTTGTCGCCTTCTGCTGCCTGCAGCTGGTGAGCGCCGCGCGCCCGGCGGTCGGGGCTGGGTGGGGCACGCGGGGCGCGGTCCCGGGGCGTGCGGGTCGGGTGTGTGTCTCCGCGAGTGTGTCTGGCGCGAGTGCCCGGGTGGCGGGTGGCCTGGAGTCTCGGAGCGGACGGGCGGAGCCTGCTCCTGCTGGCCGGGCTGTCTCTTTGTGTGCGCTTCTCCCCGCCGTGCCCGACGCTCCCCAGGTCCCCGAGTGCGTCCGTGCGCTGGTCCCCTGCCCGCCGGGCGCCTGGGGCTCCACGCGCCTGGCTCACACTGTGCGAGTGGCCCCCTGTCGCGGGATGCGCCGTGGGACTGTGGCTCTCTGGGACTGGGGGTGTGTCTGGGGCTGATCGGTGGATCCGTTGAGGTCTCTGCCGTGGGTTTCCCTCTAGATCGCTCGTTTGCTTGGGTCTCTGGTCTCCGCCCCTGTGTGAGTGCTTCTCACAAAGTCTCTGCTCCTGTGTGTGTCTTTCCGGGTTTCTCTTTGGCGTGTCTCTAGATCTCTGACCATTTCTGGTCCATGTTCATCTGTGTGTGCTGGAGTCTTAAGACTCCAAAACCCTTCAACCCTCCTTTGTGTTGTTTCTCCCTCCCTCCGCCCTCCCGACTAACTGGGCAGTCCTGGGGATGGAGCCACTTCCCTGGAGATGGTCACAAGGAGCTGGGCCAGCCTGGTCCACCCTCCCAGCTTTGGTCCAGCCACTGTGGCTGTGGCTGTCCCATCAGTCATCAGGTCCACCAGAGTAGCTCCTCTGCCGGGGCTGGCACCAGTGGGGGTCGGGGGAATACTCGGGTGCCCTGGGGAGGGTCAGTACATGTGAGGACACTATGCCTAGCCCCAGCATTGGGAACGTGGGTCCTTGCCTCAGGGAGGTTGGAGAAGTGAATTTGGGGACTGAGGGGACACAGCTCTGCCCTTCAAGTCAGGCCCAGCAGGTACATTCATTTGGGAGGGTGGTTAAGGAGAGGCTGGGGTTCTCCTGCCTGCCCTGGAGCTGAGGCCCAGACTAGGGGGTTGAAGCTGTGCTCCCCCTCCCTTAGGCAGAGGTGCGTGGGGAACTCCGTGGTAGGACTCAGGTCTGAGTGTGAGCTGGGGCAGCCTGAGCCTCACTCTTGCTGGACCCCACGCCCTGGGTTTCCGCTCCTGCCCGCATCCATGCGTCTTCCCCACCACCGATGCCAGCGGTAATGTGGAGTGAAGCTTTGAGCCTGGATGTCCGGACCGCCTCATTCATCGTGCTTCTGTCCTCTCGGGGACACCAGCTCCAAACATGCCATCCACAGACTTATCTTCCTGGGCAGTGGTGAAAATAGCCCCAGCTCTGAAGATTGTAGCCTTGCTCCCAGCTATAGGGACTGGGCAAGTGCCTTCCCTTCATTGGGCCACCTCGCTCTGCTTGTCTGTAAAATGTTCATCCCTGAGGACTGCAGAGGGGATTAGTTAAGATCAGGTAGAATGGAAACTCCAGAAGGGTAGAGATTGTCTGTTTTGTTCCCTGCTAAATCCCCAACAGCTGAAACCGTGCCTGACACTCCATTAATATTTGTGAAATAAATGAATGAATCAGTTATTTGGCACCTCTTGGCTCATAGTGGAAACACCCTCCTTTATCTACTTTGAGGAAAGTGAAATGCCAGAAAATGTGGAAAGCTTTCAGAGAATTCTTTTTCTGTGTTTGTTAATTTTTAAGTTTTAAACTAGGTTTTTTTAAATTAGAAAAGTAATGTACATATATTATAAAAATGAATAAATCAATAAATAATCAAACAGGGCAGAAGATAAAAAGTTTTCTTCTCTCTCTGCCCAGTCCCCTCCCATTGTTACAGTTTAACACTTCCTGCTGCTGCTGATGCTAACCACGGTTAGCTTTGGAGAGCCCTGAACCAGGTGCCAGGTACTCTTGTAATTCCATGTATTAACTCATTTAATCCTCTTAAGGACCCTATGAAGTACTTGCCCAGAGTTCTGTAGGAACTAGGATCCAGGCTTCAAATCCAGGCAGCTGACCAGCATCGCCTGTTGCCTTCTTAGTTATGAAATAAGTAGTTCTGGCCCTGGTAAGTCTGGGGCTCTTGGGAGGTGCTCAGGGCTCTATGGAGAAACGAAGGTGATAGAGGTAGCCTCCCTGCTACCTCTTCCTGCCTCCATAGCCTACCTGCCTCCATAGCTCTCCCTAGCTAAGCTAAACCCACTCTTCCACCTAGAGGATCTCACCAGCACCCACAGCCTAGCTGGGTGGCTTTGGGCAGCTTGTGAGGGTTGCACAAGATCATTTGCGAGGTGCTCCGAGGAGGGACTTGAAAACTGGTCTCTTGGCTGTGTTGCTCTGTCTGTGCTGATAGCACTGTGGGTCCCTCCAGCTCTCACTAATCCCCAGGAGCCCCTGCTACCTGGCAGCTTCCGTAATGTGCTCCTGGGTGTTGGAATTCACCAGCCTGAGGGGAGAAGGCTGTTAAATGTCTTTCAGCAGAAAACCTAAGAGGCGGAACTGTGTTGTTTTTCTTTTTCAAGTGGAGTTTAATCATACAGTGAGGTAGATCAGTTCTAAACGCTTTTCTGTAGTTGAGATAGACTTGGGTAGACTTGCTTTGGGTGAGGGAGTGGGGTGTGGGTGTTATGGGGGTGAGGGGAAGCAGGTAGGGACTGTGCCTTTCAGGTGGGCGGATGTAGGATAGTAATTGAGGCTGTGGAATTTGACAGGACAGACTTGGGTTCCAGTCCTGGCTTTGTCACTTCCTGGCTGTGTGATCTTGGGCAAGTTGCTTACCTTCTCTGAGCCACGGTTTTGTCATCTGTTAAATAGAGATAATATAAACAGTTCCTAATTCTTAGTGTTGTTGTGACGATTTAACCCATGTAATGTATTTAGCATTATGCCAGGTACAAAGTGAGTACTCAATAAACTATAGCTTTTTATTATTATCTTAATGATTCATATTGTGGAATGCTTCGCTGGAATTGTTGCCCAAACATACCCAGATACCCCATGCGTTGTCCTTTGTGGGAAGCAGCAGGTAGTTGGGCACTGAGCTGAGAGGCAGGAGGCCAGGATTCAAGCCCAGCTCTGCCACTGACATCCTGCAAATTTGGGCAAGTCTCTTCCCCATTCTAAGCCTTGCTTTTTCCATCTGTAAAATGGGAGGAGCCATTGGTCTGGCTCACTAGGATCCTGCCAGCTCTGCCTGTCTGAGATGCAAGGATGATGTCTGGGCTGGCGTGGAGGTTTTGTTGCATCTTGGTCTGATTCTGTTCTGTAGAATTTGTCGAGTCCCTTGTTTTCCCGGATTCTGTTTGGTGTATCATCTCGACAGCATTATTAAAACTGTTCAGTCTCTGATTTTTATTCCTTTGCCTTTTTCCTCCTCCATTCATACCCTGTCCTTCCTTCCTAGCCCACCTATCTCCTGAAACCTTACAGGCCACTCTGTTCTTCCTGGAAGGGGATGAACCAGGGAGATTTGCCCTGGGGAATCATCATCACTTTCTTCATCATCATCATCATCACTCCGGTTTAGGAGTCCCGTGCTAAGCACTTTATATGCATTACCTCATTTAACCGAATGAGCGTGCATGTGTCAAGTCCTTGGCAAAGTGCCTGGTACATGTTAAACAATCAATAAACATTAGTTATTTTACTGTTTTTATCCTTCTTAGCATTGTAATTCCACACAATGGGACAAATGTGTTTATTATCCCCTTTTTCCGATGAGGAAATTGAGGCTCCGCGGGGTGATGAGGTTTGCGGAACTCACCAAGCTAGTCAGTTTCAGAACCAGGATGTGAGTGCTCTTCTGCCTGCAGAGACACCGTCTCAGCCCTGTGCCACTGTGCTGCCCACGTGTAGTCCAGGGGTGACCTCAGACAGGTCCGAGCCTCCGTTTCCTCCTATGAAAATGATAATATTTCAATAGGCTTATGCACAGGCGCTGGCTCTGTGAGCCAGTGAGACTCAGTCATCTGTCACTGCCACGCTGTTCGTGTCCCCACACTGTGTGACCTTGGGCACATGCGTTCCCTCCTCGCCCCAGTTTCTTCCTTTGTGAAAGAGGAAAAGTCAGCCCTACCTCACAGAGTTATAGAAACGGTTTCCTTAGCCAGGTGCCAGGCACATAGTAGGTACTCAGGAAAACATTGGTTTCATTCTTTCCCCTTCTAGAAAGCTCTTTGCCTTCCGGAAGGTGGTGGGTGAGGGGGGAGATATGTAGCTTTCAGCTGAGCTGCGAGTAATGGTGCGAAACGTGGTCACCCTGATTGATGTCGTTGTTAGCGATAGTGATGGCGAAGACCAGACGGAGATGGGCTCCGGGGCCTGCGCTCTGAAGCAGCTGCCTCTGCCAGCTCCCGGCTCCCTCTGCTCTGGGGGGTTGAACCCTCGGGCCAGGCTTCAGAGCCTGGAGCGTGAAGTTTTCCAGGCCACCAGCCCCTTTTGTTCCTCATCTGCCTTTGGACAGGGTGGGGCTGGGGTGATCAACTTCCTTGTGCAGATGGAGGGACTGAGGCCTCACAGCCCTCAAGGCCCTTAGGGGTGGGCGGAGCAGGTGGAGTGGAGAAGAGGGCCTCCAGGGGACCAGGGACGGCCCTGGTTCTGTCCTTTGTAGGTGGGTGTGTGGACGATTTTAAATAAGCCCCCATAAATAGCAGCTGCTCTGAGATCTGGCACAGGGGTTGTTAGGAACACTACCTCTGGAATCAGGTAGACGTTGCCACCTTGCTGTGTGACTCCCAGAAAGTTCCTCACCCTCTCTGAGCCTCTGCTGCACCTATAAAATAGTCAGAACAACAGCTCCCACCCCGTGGCAGTTTGGGCGATTCCATGAGCTGATACCTGGACTGCCCCGACACGGTGCCTGGCCCGGGGAAGTGCTCTCTGTGGCTCGCTGTTGCTTGCCTTGAGACTTGGACAAGTCGCTTCAGCCCCATCTCTGCCTACATGAGAGGCTTTGGTGATCAGGGTCATTCCCATAAACATTCCAAGTCTTAATTTCT